AGCTTTTATATTTTGTCTGCAGGAGCTAGGTCTTAGACTGGAAATATGCAGGGATTTCTGGTCCTTCGTAAAGGAGGAAGCTGGGTGGGGGGCTGGGTGCATTCAGGGAATGCGGAAGTACGCTGAATGAGACCGTGGGTTGGGTTTCTTTGCCAACAGTTAAAATTCCCTATTAGGATTTTCCTTACAGTGAAAGAATACAATCATGACACACACCTTCGCTACTACCACGCAGTAGTCCCTGTTTCTGCCCCCACAACTGCCATGTGCAAGTTCAACATGAGCACAATGAAGTGTTCTGGAATTCCCATGTTATATTACAACTGGCTGTGAATTTCCAATTTCACCACATCCTCACCAACGCTTATTATTGTCTTTTTTTAATTGTAGCCATCCTGATGGATATGAAGTAGAATCTCGTGACTCTTTAACATGGCCTATCTTTGTTTACTTTTGAATTATTCCTGAATAATAAGTGGGATTCTAAATTGAATGTGGAAACAGTGGTGACTCACTTGAGAGAATTCTCCCCTTCTAGAGAGGAGACCTGGTTTTGATTAAGATTAAGAAGAAAATCCTGACAATTTATGATAGAAAATTTAGCCAGTGAAAACTCTATGGATCACAACCATCTGACCCCACTGTGCATGGGCGCAACATGAGTTGGGGGTCAACACAGCAGCTGCTAACAAAGCCCGCAACAAAATTGCATATGTGCTAAAACACTCTTTTAGGAACCAGATTCTTCAGTTAGATTTTTTAAAAGGTGTATAGTATCCAAGAGTTTGCTGAGCTAGAGCTTTAAAGGACAAGGGAGAACCAGACACCATCACAAACACATAATTGGTAGCAGATGAATAGATCCCAATTATAGGTAGGACCTAGCACCACGGAAGCAGGAACAGGACCATGATTGGGACACCCACATTGTCAGAGAGAAGGGTTGACAAAATTAGTCCAGGTCCTTTCCACCAAAGAAGTCAGGGCAGACTGATAGGGCAAGACTCATGACTCATCAGACCCCTGTACTGTCTCCCCATACTGTGATCTCCATCAAATACCCTTGCAGGCAAGCCCCTAAGACAGACTTGCTCCTCCCTGAGCTGGCCAGGGAAGGATGGAGGTAATCTATTTTCCAGTGCGTTCTGCCTGAGGCCAAGATTATCGACTTCCTTGGTTAATGATCAAAAGGATTTCAATGGAAGTTTAATCTATGTGGGGCCTCACTGCCATCTTTCTGCAAACCACCAGGATGCTCAGAATTTAAGGTCTAATATAACTCCTCCCCATCATGGATTATTTTTTAAAATTTATTTAGATTTTTAAAATATTTTTAAATATTTATTTGTATATTTTTAAAAATTGGAAGTCTCTACCGATAATGTTGAGGGTTTTTTCCAAGGCAGGTGTCTCCTCCCTACCTTACCCACAAATAAAAGTGAAATCATCTTAGACAAAGAGCGATACCCAGCCCTCTGTGGGCATTCATTTCCATAGAAATTCACTGGACACTAGTGTAGGAGTGCCTATAAAATGTGGGTGACTGTGGGACAGTGCTTGACAGCAAGAACTTTCGGTCTTCTCGCACTATTCCCCCAAATGGAAAACTGAGCATAGCTGAGGAAAGGCCTGCTCTGAAGAAGCGGTTGTGAAGGTATACAGCCAAGGGAGAGAGAAACTGATGACAAGCATTATCCAGGCCCATCATAACATTGGTTGGAAGGTCAGATTAAATGATAACATGACCTGCCCTCAACCCAAAAGATTAGTCTGAATTTCTATTCTCTGGAGTCTGTTCCTCTAATAGACTGAATTCTTTGAAAGGGCACAATGCTTAGAGCAAAATGGTCGGCTGGTCTTTCTGGACCATCCTTCAAATTCAAAGTGTCTTTCGGCACCAACTTTTTGTTTCCGTCTGTTAAGACCCAAAGTGTTTTTAAAAAAAGGCATCTGGAGCAAATGTGGTTTATTCCAACTTCCACAAAAGCCAGTGACAGACAGAAATATGAAAAATGTTAGGCTAAATGTTTAAACATCACATATAAAACTATACACAAAAAGTATTATTGTTTATACCTAAGTAACACCAGCATCAGCTACATTCTATAAAAGCCTCATGTTGTATTCTATAAAAGCCTCATGTATCATGGACCCTGAAAACTTTCATCTATTGACACAAAACTGTTTTTTTGGAGTTTAGCAAAAAAATCTTACTGTTCATTTTTTAACTCATAGCTCAAATTTCAATAGCTTTTCTAATAATGATTTTTAGGAATTTTGTTAAATTTTTCTAATTGGATCTTTCAATTTCAGAATCAGTTTTGGAGAAATGAAAAAAAATTAGTTTCTTAAACAGAAAGAGTACTCTTAAATATCCACAAAATTCCCACATACAGAACTTATAGAACATTTAATCTATTCAACAGCTATTTTCCATTTTTGACAATTTTTGGATCAGTTGTAATTCAGAAATTACAACTTTTGATTTCTAGAAATCCTGTTTTAGACTTTTGAGTTTTAGAAATCTTGATTTAGACTGGTGAGCAATAATTCAGGTACTAGTCTTTTTTTTTAATTCTTTTATTTGTTGTTGGGAATTATTGGTCAACTTTCTTAGCAGGTCAGCAAAGCAAGGACTTATCTGTAGATGACAAAACTTGATATGGTTATGGCTAATCAATAGTAATCACACACACCCCCCCCACACACACACACTTTGAAGGTTTGATTGGAAAAATCCCTGAACCAGTGCAAGTTAAAATAAAGTCAATTAAAAGTTGGAAGGAATGTTAGACCAAAAGGAAATATTTCAAAATGCCATGCTTAAAAGTTTCAGATATAGCATCAAAGCTGTTACCAGATCTTCCTTCATTGTTTCTCAGTTGAAAATTAAGTGGAGTGATCCATTAGCAATCTTTTCTCAACTTTACTTCTACTGGCCAAATATACTTAATAGGATAATTAACACTTGAACTGGTCATTCTTATAAGGTAGCATTGATGTAGGGTTCTAGGTTTACTCTATTTAACCACTTTAAAAGACTACGATCACATTGTTATTTAGTAGAATTATCATTCATATAACACCAGCTTGTTTCCATCTTGAGAACAAATCCACCAAATCTGATCCAATATCACAAGGTTTTAAAATATTTCATTGTGTCTTGTGCTCTACACCAAAGCAAAATTCAGTTTCCCTAAAATTTTCTACAAATTATCACACTCTCTCAAGTTAGCCTTTATTGTCTTTCACCTTCTGATACAACCAGAGATTCTGCTTTAAGAAAAAACTATTTTTCCCTCTTAAAAAAATATGAAAGCTTACTGTCATTCTATCCTCTTTCTAGTTTTTCAGCCTACGTTATAACTTTTTAAAAAAATCATTTTCTTAGGGGCTCATACAACTCTTATCACAATCTATACATACTGTACATCCATTGTGTCAAGCACATATGTACATTTGTTGCCATCATCATTCTCAAAACATT